AACATTGTTCTCAAAACCCTTGCCACAGTCCTTGATGAATGAAGTTATGGGAACTGAACAAAATTGGTATGGACTCAAGGAGAAATGAAAACATGTACTGTGGCATTCAGATATATTGGAGGGACTCATAGCCCACATGTAGTATCAGGGCCTTTTTCTGTGACTGACAGAAATTTCATCACTAAAATATTTCTTTCTCTTTAAAAGGAAAACATAAAGTAAAATGGGTGTGTGAAGCTTCTAGTTATTTTTCCTTTTTAACATCTCCAACTCTGCTCGTCAAAAGGCAAAAGCATTCAGATTCTCTCTATCATTCCCGCGCTCTTGCCATGCTCCCAAAACATGCCCCTCTCCTAAGAAATGTCCTTATTGTTCCTTGCCTGAAGGACCACTTTTCTTCCAGCTCCTCAGTTGTTACACATCAGCACAGCAGTATAATCTAAGATGTGCTGTAAGCGAAGAAACCAACATCATGTAATTTCAAGTAGCAAAACGTATCTTTCAGGTGAACACATTTGATTTGGAATAACTGTGTGCTGAACATTAAGATTATATTAAAAGAACTCTCCTGGGTCAGATTAATCATTCTTTTAGTCAACCTAAAAGCTCCAGGAAGCCTACAAGTAGGGTATGAAGGCAGCATTTCACTCCAAGTTTTAATCCTGAGCAATTTGATATTCTGATGCAGGCTGCTTTGATTTGGAGATAGCAGTTATAATTAGTAGCTACTGACTACCTTATTCTCTCTAAATTTTGTTCAATCCTCTCTTGATATTTTCTGAATTGCTGAACTTCTCAACATTGTCATTGTGTGAAAACAGATTCATTGGATGACCCTCAATTCTAATATTCTGACAGAAAAATGCTCGGTCCATATTTCTATATATCAAGTCCATGTTCTGTATTGGATTAGTTGCTTTACAAAAGCCATTATTGTTCACATTAAATAGCCTTGCAGTATTGCTGTGAACATAAATGAGATAATGGCAAAACGTGTTATGTACTACAAGATGATATAGAAATATTCTCTATTTTTATTTGCTGCAAGCCGCCTTGAATGTTAGAATAAACAGAACAAACAGCTGTATGTTCCTGTGTTTGTTGACTGCCAAAAGATCCTGCAGTTGAAAAGGCTGGGTACTTACTTACTGTTTGATGGATGTAGGCCACAAAGGTGAAGGAGGTTCCATCAGAAGAAAGGCATCAAGCCTGAAAGCAATCTGGCAGCAGCTTGCAGAAGTAGCTGGACCAGGCCACATACAGGACAGCCTGTTCCTATATAGTCTGGCACACACTATGAAATCATCCACAGGGCACCTTCTGTAGATACACTTGACATGATTGATTCTGCTTTCTCTGTGATATGGCCCATGTTTTGGAACAAACTACGGTTGGGGTTAAAGGCAGACCACTACTGATTATGGTTTAGGAGGGTATTTGAAATATACTTCTTTATACAGGCCTCTGAATTATTTTAACTCAATTAACTTTTAAATTATTTTATATTTTTTTTAAATAATGTTAAAGGTTGGTTTTAACTGTACTTTATCATCATCATCATCATCATCATCATCATCATCATCATCATCGATTTATACATTCCTTTTCCCAGGAGTTAAAAGCAGTTTACATGGAGGTTTCCTTTTAATCCCCACAACCATCGGTGAGGTAGGTTGGGGTGGGAAAGAATGAATGGCCCAAGGTCACCCACTGAGTTTTCAAGGCTAAGGGTGTACTTGAACCTTGGTTTCCTCAGTCCTAGGCCAGCATTTTAACTATTATATAACACTGGCACTGTGTAAGCCACCTTGAACCCTTAAGGGAGTAGCCAGCACACAAATACTCTAAAGAAAGAAATGAATATAACTGTAAAAGCTAATGTCCTAACCTGTGAAAATCTTAGGTTGGTTTCCATACCCAGTGTCCTGCAAGTCCAATAGAAGGCGAAATGGTAAACATGTGCTTTGTTTCTCTGGGTGTGGGAATGTTTTCTGGAGTCCTACAACATGCCATTATTTCCTTGCCAGGTCCACAAACACAGACCTTAATGTCCATGAGCAGTGACTAGAGGACTTCCACCTGGAAGGATATGAGAGTCTACTTGGCATTCTTACTTTCCAAATCTGGGCCAAGTTTCACCTCTGAGAATGGATAATCAGAGAATGAGCATTCAGCTAAGAAGCCAATGAACACCAACTGTCACTGGTCTCTTTTGTGGACCATTGGAAGCTACAATATAAGGAGTGTTTATCTCATTTTGAAAAATATATGAACATCATGCTTCTCATATGGTTGGAATGATGTGCTATAGAAAGAATGCTGGGTTTCTGCTCAGCTAGAAATTATACTCTTCTCTTCCCAATAAGCAAAAGTCACCTCACCTAATGGCAGTTGTGCCATAATTCAAACAAAGGCTGGGTGGGTTCTGTTTACTTACTAATAATGACTCTCTTGAGCAACCCATCTTGGCTGTTTGTGCTGTAATGAAGTCATCGAGCCTTTCTCACCTATGAAATGAATTTCTCAAGTGCAGAAGCAACTTTCTTAATAAACTGAGCCAGGTCCAGCCAGTGCAATACATCAATCCCTGTTGATCAGAGCAGCTGCTTCACTTTGATAGAAAGGAGATGCCCTGCTAGAGCACAGACGAAGAAGGCAGCAGAAATCAGTACTGTAAGAGTTAACATTGGGGAGCTGGCTTTCCACCGGCAATACAGGCAGTGCAGGCTGGGTCTCGCCTAGGCTATTCTGTGCTGTTAGAAGGCGTGTCCCGTTTGGTCTTGCTCTGCCAACAAAGCACAACAGATTACAAAGCCAGGTGCAAAGGGGAGGAGGGGCTCATCCCTCCAACAGTGACTGTAAGCAGAGTCTTTCTTTCTGTCAGCTGGTATACAGACCAAAGTTCAAGCTATTACATGGAATCCTTTGGAGCCTGTCATCTTCTGAGCTGGATCTTCTGCAAGCACAGACGCACAACGCCATCAATTTTCAGGAGATGGAGTATCTTTTTCCTGCTGGGCAATTGTAGGGCTGGCAGGACATCATTGTCTGCTTCCATGTGGGCACACAGCCAGCTGAGACAGGGAGCCAAAGTGCTCAGGCTACTTGGCGAGTATTGGGGCAGCACATCTTAATTGCTTCCTTCTCCCTCCCTCCCTTAAATCAGCAAGGGCAACGTGCACAGATTTGCTCCAGGGAAAACAATGGCAATCTAGGGAAAATAAATCACCACCTGATACATCCATTCTCACTGCCCTGCACTTTCTCCATTTGTCATTCACAAGTTTAACTATTGTTTGTATTACAGCAGCTCCTACAGACAGGCCCATCATGCTGGATTTATAGGGAGAAAGACAGCCAGTTTTCCTCCAGGACATTTATATGAGAGAAGAGAATCAAATAAGAACAGAGAATTAAAAAAAAAAAATCAGGAAGCGGAGTCAGTCTTAAGTACCAGGGCGAGGCTGATTGCGGTCCCAAATTGGGTTCAATGTTATTATCTTATCTGAATTAAAAGCTTCTCAAAGCTTTTCTCAAAATTTATATTAATTCTCCCTTCTCAAAATACATATTGTTACCTTACTTCTATTTGGTGCAGTTTGGATGTATACTTTTGACTAAGGAAGACCAAAAGAGATACTATATCTGCACATCCATCCCACCTCCCCAGTTACATTTCATATGGCCCAGGAATCTTAACTTGCTCTGTTGAGCAGGGATATATGTTCCCAGGCCCACAAACATCCCTCCCAAAAGCCTTTGATGAAGCCCACTTCCAAAATGAAAATTCAGTGTATTGCATTTACTATATTTAATTCATTTACATCTAAATTAAACCAGATCAGATTGAGTTCTGCTTCTGTAACCATATACTTCCTCACCACTCAAACATCAGAAATATCTCTGCTGTATATCTGATCTAGGAATACAGGTAGTCCTCGCTTACCAAGTGCCTTGTTTAGCAACTGTTCAAAGTTACAACAGTGTAAAAAAAAAAAAAAGCTTTCTGACCAATCCTCGCATTTATGATTGTTGCAGCATCCCACGGTCACATGATTGCCATTTGGGTGCTTCGCAACCAGTGCACATTTATGACTGTCGCAGCGTGCTATGGTCACATGAATGCTATTCGCATGCTTCAACAAGCAGAATTAATAGAGAAGGTGGAAGTAAAATGGTAAGTCATGGTCACGTGATATTTCGCTTAACAACCACAGTGATTGGCTTAATGACTGAAGGGGAAGTAAGATTGTAAGCCTGTCGTGGTTACATGATTTTCCACTTAGAGACTGCAGAGCTCAGTGACCGAGTTGCCAGTCCCAATTATGGTCCCTAAGCAAGGACTACCTGTAGTTCACATTTTATTACACATTTTATTACATAATGAAAACAATGCCAGGACTGACTCTAATATACTAGAGTGTTCTCCACTACACGATCGATCCCCCAAATAACAAGGGAATAGAAATAACAATAAAAACAACAATAATAAGCAGCCTCTTTGAATTGTACAGAATAGATATAAAAATCATTTTTAAAATGTAGATGGGAAACACATCAGAGAAAGACAGAGATAGTTTTAATTCAGCTTTCTGTCTGAACTGTTTCCAAGACTTCTCACAAACTGAGAATTATGTTCCTTCTAGAGCCTTATTTTTCAAAAAATGTTGGAAAAGCAAATCATTGTTAAACCAGTAGAGTGACTGTAGAGTAGAAACATCTGAGTTCAGTGGGGGTTTTTTATTTCAAATGCCAAAGTACAGGCCAAACATATTCATATAAAATTAGACCCCTGGAATTCTGCCTGGGGTTTCCAGGAACATAACAAATATTTTGTTGCTCTTGGGATGAAGGCCAATGTTTGCAAGATTTGAAAGATGAGTTGAATCCCATGCCCTCAGAATCAAGAGCTCTGTTTATAGTAGATGAGAATATTATTGCTGAAGATGGCATGGTGAAAGATAATTTAGCATCTTGTTTCAAAACATCCATACCTATGCAGAGGAAGGCCAGAAGAAATGTGCCCGTTTCCTTTAAAGACAGCGAGCTTGCATGCTGTTAGTACAAGTACTCTGTGCAGTTATGCTGTCAGTTTAACTGATGCTTATTCTTGGGAATGGATTTCTAGAGAGAAAATATTAATGCCAGAGTTTCAGATCAGAGTCAGCTATAGGGCATTTTGGTCTGATTCAAAAAAGCTGCTTTGGAGCACACAGGGTACAAACATAGCACCCCTCTGCAATTTTTTCAAGGTGCTAGGACAAGACATGGCTGCTTTAAATAATTGTAGCCAGGTGTTACATTTGCACCCTTTCATGCTCTAAAGTGCCTTTTTGGAATTGAATCCAAAGAATTTTGCACTGCAAAGTAGCTAATCCACTGCAACAGACTGAAATGCTCTCACCCAAACCGATAGGCGCACTCAAGGCCACAGAATAGGGGGAAGAGAACTTTAGAAGCAGAATAGAGAAATGAACTCTGAGGTCGCTTTGAAGGTGAGTGAGGGATTAACAGACAGCAACACTGTCCGTTTCTGCCTGTCAGCCCTCCAAGGTAGGCCAGGTTGGCAAGGAATATTGAAACTCTATTCTTGTAAGTTACAATAGCAGAAATTTGAAAGCCTGCCAGAGTTCCCCTCTGTCCTCCCTTATGGTAATCAAAAAAGAGTCCCTTCCTTGCCCTTACTTCTCTCCCAGGGCTGAGATTTCATTTACTGTTTCTTTTATCTGTTAATGGCTTTCACCTTCCTTGACTTTCTCTTCCTCCCTTTAAACTGCCTTTCAGAAACAGTCATCTCCCTGTTTTAATGATGGGGCAGCTGGGCAGTGCAGATAAGCTCTAAGACTTCCATAAGTGGACCCACCTCAGCTGGAGTAGGATAGCCAGTGCTCTGTGGACAATCTTTTGGATGCCAAGGGCTGCATTTAACAGGTGTGGGAGATGGAAAGCCACAAAGTGAAGGGTCCACATCCCATCTGTGGGTGGGTGAAGCTGGTTGGGGTTAAACTATTTTAGGGCTTACATTGCCCTAAATTTTTTATGTTTCCCATCTCAACACAGCAGTAAATCATCAGTTTCAGCAGTTCTGATCAGAGGACGGTGTCATAGAGACCTCATGAGAACAATGAGTGAAATTTAAATGATTTCATTTAACCCCTTGACCCACTTACTAAATTCATCCATTTACTGGGTTCACATAGTACACTAAACTATAAGCAAAGCAGCTGGGTTGGCACAAAAAGCAAAGGTACAAAAGAATTACCCAAGATGAAAACTAGTGAAGCTCCACACCTTGGCGGACATGTCAGATTAACTCACCTGGTTTGGCACGTGGTGGGAATATAGCCTATGTGTAGCAGGAAGTCAGCCTGGGAGGGAAATGGGTTTGAAAACAAGATCAACAGCTGTCTTTGTTCCCTACTGAAAATTGCATTATGTGTTATATATTGTATTATATTATGCGTCTTTTATTAATTTGTTTGGGAAGAGAATTTAGTTGAAGTGTGATGAGAAAAAGTGAATTAAGCCAGGCTGGAATCTTCACCTTCATTCACTGGGGTCAGAGAAAAAGAGAAAAGACAAAACGCTGAAAACAATACAGTTAAAGAAAGAAAAAATAGTAATTACATTAAAAATTCCACCCTTCTTTACAGCAGTTACAAGCTCATTATCCCTCCTCCCTCCTTAACATTACAATACTTCTTTCAGCCCCTTGTTCAATCCTTTTTCAATCATCAAATCCAGAAATGACCATTTCACTTTTTTCCCATTTTCAGCAAAAAGTCCATAAAAGGTTTCCAGTCTCTTATAAAAGTACTTATTGTTTATCCCTCACCAAACAGGTCAGTTTTGCCAACTCTGCTAATTCTGCCATCTTCACATTCCATTCCTCCATTGTAGGTATTTCATTATTTCTCCAAGCCACTCATCCTTCTTAGCAAGTTTAAACAATCCTTTTTCCCACAGAGGTATGCATTATTTATTTAATTAATTCAAAAATTCTTTAAATAAGACAATACTCCAAATTTAACTGTCCCCTTAGTAAATTTTTAGCTTTCGCATTCCAAACTCGCAGCAAGCGTTTTACTTTTAATTCTTTTTAATTCTTTATAATTGTATCCTTACTTGTTTACTTTAATCTTTCCCACAGATCGAAGATACACTCACCTGGGTGGCTTTGGGCACTCTCCTGCTTTGAAGGTCTCTTTACACTTTAAATTTTCTCCATCCAAAAGTGTTCTAGAAAGTGGATTGGGTGAACCCGGTGTCCTTTAAATAGGCTTCGCTTGAGGCTGTGAGCAGACTGCTCTCTCCCAGGGCTCCTAGCACTCTTTACTTGCGAATTGCCCACAGGGTCCCTCTGGATCCTGTGGGTTTCCTCATGATTAGCTGGCCTCCAGAGCTCAAGTGGACAATCTCACAGCTTTCTCCTTGTCTAGAGAAACTCCATTAGCTCAGGTGCACCACCCGGCTGCTGGTCTTTGCCTCTGCATCATCCCAGTACACAGAGACATGCTAGTCCACCATATTTCCACCCCAGAAGTCCATAAGTGACTTTTTTCTAAGGAAATTGAACTTGGGGACATGCTGGAATCCTTGAAATGCCTCCATACTTGGAAGCAGAGTGGGCACATATAAAGTTATAGATTCATCAATGTCGAGTAACATTGTAATGGCATTTTGATTAAAGTGAATTTTGATCAGGAACTTTGAGTTCAGGGGGAAAAGTTGAAGAAATTTGGAGGAAACTAGACAACTGAGAGTTTGCAAGTCCACATCCCATGAAATTCATGGCTTACCATATTCCAGACCAGATAGTGTTCTCACCTTTTAAAAGTGGAATAATTGTGGGCATAATTCTTTTCATTCACTATCTTGGTCTTTAGTGATATGCTAAACTAACAGTAGTCTATCTCGTGCTGTCTGTCCTACTCATTCTTACTGATAATTTTTCTTCTACAGAAGTGTTCCTAATAAGCATAAATGAAACACCCCTCCCAATGTTGATGAATATGATGATATGATTCAAATCAATCAAAGAAGAAAACTGAAAGTCTCCTCCCTCCCTCCCTCCTTCTTTCTTTCTTTTGCTTGCTTGCTTGTTTCTAGCAGGAAAAAAGAAAAAGTGAAGTTGGACATTGCATGGGATTTTTGTTAATATATCTTCCTTCTTTTTCCTCTTCCCTCTTCTCTTTTGGAAGAAATCATCTTAAATTTAGGGTTGCCCTTCTAGAATCCACGTATGGGGAACCCCTAGGGGTAAAGTCATTTACATCCAATTTTGAAAATTAACTGAACAAACTGGTCTAAGGAAGGAATTGATAATCACTAAATAGAAGTTCTTCAACTTATCCACCTTGAGGCCTTTCAAGGGAGTTTCTAATTTCCAGTCATCCTCTTTCCCCCCATCTGAACTTGTTTCAGTTTCTATTTCTGGTATGTGAACCTTTTTATTTTAGATCTTTGCTAAGCCTTTTGTATGGGCTTTGGGCTTCTGCTCTCCTCCTTTTTCCATACTGGATTTGTTGGCAAATGTGCCTTTAAACTCTCTTTAGCAGGCATTACCCATCTGCCACTGAGAATCATTTTGTTTGTGGTAGGGTAGAAATATCTTTGCTAAATCAGTAAGTAAGTAAGTAAGTAAATACATCAACACCCCTTTGCTTTCCAAAGTACAGGACAGAAAATAATGGATTTAAGTTACAGGAAGGCAGATTTCAGCTGAAGGTTAGAGAAAACTAAGAACAGTTTGATTGCAGAACCAATTATACAGAGAGGTGATGGACTTCCTTTCAGGGAATGTATTCACCCAAGGACTGTTAGGCTGCCAAATCTCAGGGATGCTTTAATTTGAATGGGTGCACTGAAAAAGGGGGTAGACTGGGTGACCTAAATGGCCCCTTCCGTCTCTATGATTGTATGAAATCAGATTTTCATCTAGCTGAAACAACCTTAATTAATTCAAGAAAGAACCCTGTGGCATCTTAAAGACTAATGAATGTATTAGGTGATAATAAATTGGGTCGTTTATAAAGTGCCACGTAACTCCTTGCTCTGTTAGCAGCAGAAGGTTAACGTGGCTACTCCAGGAAACTATTCTAATCAAATTAAACCACTCTAATAAGCCTGTGTGGTACAGCCACAAACTGCCTTGCTAAGAAACTTCACCATGCAGAGGCAAATCTTTTCAGCTCATCAAAACGCAATAACGATCAATTCCCTCTTTGAGTTATTTTGCTTCACTTTGACAGCACATCCAGTAAATGGACGATAATATTGCCCATACACTGAAGCCTCTTTCAGTGCTTTCAGGAGCTCATTGGAAGTGCTGGAAGAGGCTGGAGGAACCACACCAAGGGAAACACTATGGTAGTTTTGGTTCACTTTTTAGAACAGGGGCCCGGTTGCCTGGTGCAGCAGCTTCAAAGATGGTTCACAATTTTGCACTGATGATGCTTCAATGAATGATTGAATGCAAAGAACTCCTCCAAGGCTTGGCACAGCCCTACTTCCTAACATTTCTTCTTTCTCACCTTAAGACTTTGCACAATACAGACATTTGGGTCCCAACATCAACCCCTAGCCTGATCCTTTTTCTTCAAAATCCAGTTCCTTTTTGGCAAACTTTCAACCCAATCAACAAATATTTAGAATCAAACTCCACCAAAAAAAAAAAAAAAATTAACTAAAAGCCTATGTCCCAATTATCTAGTTTCAGCAAATATTAATTTGGACATCTCTTATCTAAAGTACAGGACTAAATTAAAATGAACAATGCCGCTTAATCTTAGTGTTTGATTATTTCTATGGAGCAAACGGAATGAATTCCATTTAGTACTGCTGGTACAACAACAGCACTCTTGATTTTGTTTCAGTAGTTAGGGAAACTTAAAAATGTAATAAAGGAGATAGAGAACTAGAGAATTACTTTTCTACTTTTAATGGAGAAGGGAAGAAGAGTGACTTGGAAAGATTTCTTATCTTGAATTTGCAAAAGGAATGTGTGGAAGTGGTGAGGCTGTTCCTGGGAAGAGACAGAGAAATGTCCAGAGACTGGAGATGTTTTTGGGAGAAGACAAGGAGATGATGGGGAATCAACTTGTGAGACATTATTTGAAAGGATTAAAATTTAAGCTCTTCAGAAGTAAACAGAAGGTTTAAAAGTGAACTTATTGGACTATGGTTAAAGTATATGCTGAAGCTTTCAGTAGTTATTAATGGGATTTTTTTGTGACCAGGATTGAATGACAATGCTTTAAGGATTCGTGTGTAAAGTTTACTAAGGTTAAAATAGCTTTGTTATTAAATTTATGGAATTTTTGTTAGTTTTTATAGGTATAAAGGTGGAAGGATATGACATTATCTATAACTATTTTTATATATGATAGCAAGGTTTTTAAAGGCACAGTGGTGGAAAGATGAGACATTATCTACAGTGGAAGAATGGTGGGTGAACTCCATGGAGTTGGCTAAAATGGCAAAATTGATAGCTTTGATTCAAGATATTGTGTAATTTTAGTGCTAACTGGACTTTTTGTGGGATATAGAAAAAAATGAAATTATGTTGCATGGGTTTGATGATTAGAAATAATATGGGTTAATAGAAATAATGGAAGTTATGTTGTAAGCTTAGAACAAGAGTTTGATGTATATTGTTACTTATATCTGTTGCGGGGAGGGTCGGAAGTCAACTCTTATTTTTCTTTTGTTGTTTTTCTCTTTTGCTTTTCTTTTCTGTACCTTTGATCTTTACTATTTTCTCTTTTTCCAATTTCTTCTTTTTTTTCTTATTCTCTTATTCTCTTTCTTAATATTAGTTTTTGTTAGTTTTTACTAACAAAATTTTAAAATTTAAAAAAAAAATTTAAAAAATTATTATTTAAAAAAAGAGAGAGAAGGGAAAAGCTTCTTTTAAGGCAGAATATGCAGGGGTGGGCTGATCTGTATAAACAGATTTCCCCACTAACCATTTCTCAAGAGGAGAAATGCAGAATGTTATATTCTACCAACCCCCAGCTCATCAGCAAGGCAATCTTCACATGTATTTGGGTAGAAAAAATATGAACAAGTATATGAAGAGGGAAACTTGGCTTGGCAGTAGTACCTGTGAAAGGAATCTGGGAATCCTTGTTAACAGGTTAAACATGAGCCCATGGTGTGATGCAAATGGGCAAATGGGCAAATGAAACATAGAAATGAGATCACAGGACATAACTCTACTCTGCCTTAATAAGACCCCATTTGAAGTATTGTGTCCAGTTCTAATCGCCACAGTTCAAAAGGGACTGTAACAAATTGGAACGATTTCAGTGAAGGGCCATCAAGATGGTGAAGAGTCTGGAACCAACTCTGTAAAGAATCATTAAAGGATCTGGATGCTTTCAGCCTACAGAAAAGATAATGAAGAGTGAAATGATTGCAGTCTTCAAATATCTGAAAGGTTGTCATACAGATGAGGAAGTGGATTTATTGTGCCTCAAGTGACAACTCTGGATTGATTTGTTCCATGATCCATTTATTTGTTTTCCTATTCATGGTATTTTCAGGAGCCTTCTCAAACAAAGCTCAAGTGTCACTACTCTTTCTATCCTGATTCTTCAAAGTCCAACTTTCACTTCCATTGGGTGTCACATAGAAAACCCTCGCCTGCCCAATTCTTATCTGTGTGCGTATGTCATGGAATCTGAGTATCTGCTCCAAGGAATTCATTGCTATCATACCAAGCGCTAACATACAGTGTAAATCTTGATTGTTGGCTCCCTTATTGTTGATAGTCAATCCTAAAAGGCAGAAGCTATCCGTCATTTCAAAACCTTCATTATCAATTTTAAGGCTGGTCACCGTATCTGTTATTATTGTTTTGGTCTTCTTTATACTTTACTGTAGTCCCATTTTTTTCACTTTGCTACTTGACTTTCATTATGGAGCTTCCAGATCATTTGCATTTTCAGCTATGAGAGTGGTGTCATTAGTGTAGTATGAGTTATTTATGTTTTCTCCTCAGCATTGGGTTTTATCATCCTTCACAGTGAACAGCACAGCAAATATAAGCCATTACTGTTTACATTAGGTTTGGAAAAGGTATAGTTGTTATTTGGGAAAAAGCAACTTAGCATTTGTTGAATTTGAACATGGAAAGAAAAGCATCATCCATTTGGGCTCTTCTTATATTGAAGTGCACTGTTGAGGTAAGCATAACTCCAGGACATTACTCGGCCTCTGGATCAAAGACAGAACATCCTTGCCATGCGCTTGAAAAAACAAATCTGTCCCCATCGTATTCCACAGCTTCAGGTTTCATTGGCTGCCAATCGCAGTCCAAAGTACATGGAAATATGACAACATGAAAAAACCTTGAAAGAATCTCTTGTTCTTTTTTTACTTACATTAAGAA